GGTCAGTTAACCTCTCCCCAGTATTAATTATCCAATTAATATCAATTAGCTTTTACAAAGGAATATTTACTGGGAAGGTAAAGGAAGCACCAAAGTATAGCAATAGCTCCCACCAGTATTTACTGTCTTCTCTATACACCCACTCACTTCCCATGGACAGTCGACTGAAACTTAAAGAGATCCCTATAAGGCATTCTCGGCAACTATTCACTTCTGGGTAGGGTATAGCTAGAGGATGAATGGCTCCCTTGATTGGCTGAACTGGCTCCCCTGTGGGCTGTGTGAAGTGGATAAATCAGCTGTTTCTAAGTCTCCTCACCAAGCTTGGATGATGAAACTACCAGCAGATTCTGTTACCAACTCCAGCTGGTGGATTTCTGATGGTACTTCTAATCTTTTGAGGCTCACAAGGCTGTAAACTGGTCCCTTCTGTCTTTGATGCTCATTTTCCCATGATCAGAAAAGAATAAACACTACGAGACAAAAGAAGCATCGTAATTGGGCATTTAGAGCCATATAGCAGCTGGGTGAGACACAGAAGGCCTGAGGCCCCTCCCCCAACCAGAGACCCACAGAAGGTCTCACCTTGAGAGCCACCAGAGAAAAGGAGGCAAGTGTATCTGCTCAAGCCTGTAGTATGCAATCAGTTCTGCCTCAGCAACCAGTTAAAAAGCTTTTCATCACCTCAAAGTAAGCCAGGATTGGGCTTGCTCCAAAGCAGTGAGGAAAACGGCCCATGCATCATGTAGTTCCAGAAGCAGGCTGACCTAACAGGTAGAGAATATTGTACATACTTTAAGGACTGGGACCTTATTGGCCTGTTCCTCTGTTACATTATTAACTGTATATTCTAGCCAAACTGTACTACTAACTCTTCTTCAACTCATTGTCCCATATTGTCCCTCCAGGGATTCCCATGGGCTGTTCTCCATGTCTCCAATACATGTCTAGAACACTTCCTCATCTCTACCTCACTTTTTCTTCCTTTATGGTTTTGTTGAGATATTGCCTCCTTAATTCCCCTAGTTATCAAAGCATTCTTTCCTCGTTTTTTCCTACCATTATACCTATTTGTATATATGTACCTCCTGCCCCACAGAATGAAAGCTTCTATAGAACAGAACCTGTTTTGTTTTTGCATTTGTTTCTGGGGATCGTCTACATCACACGGTTGTCGTGGAGAAGTCAATTTCTAAACTTCAAAGTGCTTTGTAAATGTGAGTTATGATGATTTTTATTATTCCTGGGGCTTAGCACAGTGCTTTGCACATAGCAGGCACTTAGAAAAATGTTTGTTGCATCACTCCTAGGGGTGTTATTAGTCTGATCTTACTGAGGTTCAAGACAGATGAATATTTTATGGTATCTCCAGTAAGCCAAAAGAGAAATTTTATTTGGTTGAATTCAACAAAAACTTATTAAGAGGATACCATATGGAAATTATCAATAGACGAATCTAAGGTTTCAGTAATAAGCACATATTGAGCACCTACTATGTGAATACAAAAGAAATAGAAGAAATGGCTCCTGCCCTCAAATGAGTTTATAAAATAGTTGGGGGAAACAGAATGTATATATATGAAACAACTAATAAACAACTACAAATCAACATTTAAATAAATATAATGTGAATTGTTGAATTGTATACATGTCAGAGAAATCATGAAATCTCAGAATTGGAAGGGACCTCAGAGAATATTGAATCTGACATCTAAAAAATAATTCCCTCTAGAAGATATCTGATCACCCTTTGCTTGAAGATCCCCATCAAGAGGGAAGGCACTAGAGGAAGGGAAGGGGGAAGAAAATAAGCATTTATTAAGTGCCTATGATAGCCAGGTACTGTGCCAAATGCTTCCAACCTGTTCTACTTTTTTCTTTTAGACAGCTTTCATTGTAAGGACTTTTTTCCCTATGCAACAAGCTTAAATTTACCTCCTTTGAGACTTTCACACGTTGCTTCTAGTTTTGTCTGACAAGGCCAAGCAGAACAAATATAATTCCTGTTTTTCCTGAATGTCCTTAAAAACTCTGAAGAGAGCTATCGTGTTTGTCTTTGAATTCCTAGTGCTTAGTACGTGTTTAATAAGTGCTTATTGATTTATTGACTGATAGGACACCAAATCTTCTCCTCTCCAGATTAGCAATCCCCAGTTCCTTTAAAAGATACTCAGCTTGCACGAAGTCAAACTGTTTTACCATCCTGGTTTCCCTCCTTTGTTGATATCTTGCTTATTTGTCTTTTAAAACATAGCACTCAGAAATGAAGACAGCACTCCAGATGAGGTCTGTCTGAGGTTGAACACAGCAGAGCCATCACTTTCCTGATCCTTGACATGATGCCTTTTTTACTACAGCATATGATTGCTTTAGCTTCTTGGCTAATATATTACACTGTTGACTCACATTGCGCTTGAAGTCCACTTAAACCCCCAGATGTTTTTCAGACAAACTGCTATCTAAACATTCCTCCTTCCATTTTGTACCTGCAAAATTGATTTTAACTCAAGTATGTCCCTATTGAAATATTAATTTCAATCTTATTAAATTTCTCCCAGAGATATTTGTGAATCCTGATCCAACGTATTAACCACATCTCCCAGCTCCCATCTGAAAATATTATAAGTATGCCATTGTTACTGGTGGCTCAGTGGATAGATTACTGGGCCTGGAGTTAGGAAGATCTGAGTGCAAATATAGCCTCAGATACTTACCAGCTGTATGACCCTGGCAAGTGACTTAACTTCTGTTTTTCTCAGTTTCTTCAACTGTAAAATGAGGATAATAATAGCACATACCTACCATGGTTGTTGTGAGAGTCGAATGAGATATTTATTAAAGCATTTGGCATGTAGCAGGTGCTTTATAAATATTTATTCCCTTTCCTACCCTTTATTCAAGTCATAGGATCATGGACTTTAGTTCTGGAAGGGATTTCTAATCCATCCTCATTTTACAGATAAAGAAACAGGCCCAGAGAAGTTATATGACTTGCCCACAGTATCATAGGTTATAAATGGTGAAAACAGGATTTCAATCCCCATTTCTCTAACTCCAAATACAATATTCTTTTCATAATACCATACTGGCATTAACAAAAATATTGCCACTTTGCCAAACACAGACCCCTTGGACACCTGGTTCCCAAAGAGAGTCTACTCAAACTTAAAACATATTCCCCACCAAGTGTGCTTCTGGGTACGGTGTAGCTGAGGGACAAGTGACTCCCTTGCTCAGCTGGAGCCTCCTTTCAAGTGAACAGCAGATGGCTAATGACATCTCTTTTTGGTTTAGCAGCGTTAGCCAGATCCGAATCCTCCTAATGTCCCTCTCTACTCTGCATGTCTCTAGTTTGTCCACAAGAATAATATGATGGGCTCTGTCAAATACTTTGCTAAAATCTAAGTGAAAATGTATCTGTAGCATGGACTCCTTCTCTACTAGGCTAGTAACCCTAAGTAAAGTATGCCATGATCTGTTCTTGATGAAGCCACGCTGGCTCTTTGTAATTGCCACTTCCTTTTCTAAATATTCACTAACCATCCTCCAACCAAGGGTTGTCAGGCTCAAATAGAAATGGGGCTATTAATCTATACGTAAGGATCCCTGTGGGCCTCTATTGACTTAGTTTTAAAATGTAACGTCATCTATGTTTTATTGTATTTTTATTTATTTAAATATTTCCCAATTTCATTTCAGTCCAGTTCTGGTCACACTAGGGAGTGTTGCACTGCATGTTTGATACTTCTGTTCTAGAATCCTAAATTCTAGAATTTTCCCAGGAATTAAAGCCAAGCTTACTGGCTTTACTCCCTTTTTTGAAAACTGGGACAATTCTTGCTATTATTTTCTTATTCCTGTGGCCCCTCTGGTTCTCCACAATCTTTCCAAGATCACTAACAGTGGCTCAGCACTGCCTCACATCTGCCACCTTCATTCCTTATCCTAAGATTAATCCTCATGGCCAGGTGACTTGAATCCATTGTGGGGCACAAGATGTTCTCTTGCTAGCTTCTCTCTCATCTCAGGTATCAACTTTCTTTTAGCTGTTGTTGTCCTCTTCCTTTCAAGCCAAATATCCATCTCCTTGGCAGAGAAAACAGAAGCAGAATAAAAATGGAGCAGCTCTATCTTTGTCTGCGTTATTGCTTATTGTTTTCCCATCCACCTTCATCAGTGGTGCTATCCCTCTTTGATCCTCACTATAGCTAAAAACAAAAGTGCAAAAATTTAAAGAATATTTTATTGACCTTCGGGTTCCTTACTAGCTCCCACCCAGTTTGAATTGAAGTATTAATGACACTATCCCCACAGGGGCTTTTTGCATTTTTGTATTCATTCTCTGTTACTTATCCTTGTACCCATATTCTGTGCATTTTTTTTTCTTATCTAAATTGGTTGGGAAGTCCTCTGTGCAGCTACATCTTTTTATTTTTAAACAATTACTCTTTTTTCTTTCTTTCTCATTAAAATGGTTTTTCTTTTGTATCTTCAGACATGGGGCAACTCTCCATGTTTCCTAGTCTGGCTGGCATTTCCTGTGGGATTTTAGCCCATGGGATACTACCTACCAGAATCTAAGGCCTGAGTCAGATTATGCCCTTCTTTTCACACTTGTTTGGAATGCCTTCCATTGATTTGATTCAATCAAAATGGGTTCTTACATGGCTAAGTTACCAGAACATAGCATGACTTTTGGGTAGGATGGGGTAATTTGATAGATTTACTCAACCAACCCCACCTTTGATAATATGCATAGATTAATTAATAACTATTAGCTTGCAATAATGCATGTATTAGTTAATGAATCTAGAGATAGCACAGCTTGGGGAAATGAACAATAAACAAGGGGTTAGGAGTGACGTAGATTGTCTGTTATTGTGTGAGCTAATTTCCCTGTACCTTGGTTCCCTCATCTGGGATTCTCCTTGCAACGTGCAGAACATTTATGTTTTTCACATCTCTTTTCCCTGAGGTTTGCCTTTTCATTTGTTTTTCAGAGATGTAAAAATAAAAACTGGAGAGTGGTTCTTTGAGGAACGAGCCAAGAAATTTCCAGCTGAAAGTAAGTGACATAATTTTGTTTTTAATCAAAATAAAACTGTATAATAATAGCTTTAAATAATATTTAGCTTATATAAGAAGAGATAAAGATATTTAGAATTTAAAGCCTTTGCAGTGGTTAGCATGTCATATCCAGTGTTCAAGGCAAGCTGAATGGCTCTCATCTCATATACAATGAGCTTTCCTGCCTCCACACCTTTGCTTTATGTAATTTCTTCTTCCAGGTTGTAAGTGGCAGAGCTAGGATTTGAATGCAAGTCCTCTGACTCCATAGGGCAGCTAGGTGGTGCAGCGGTGCAGTGGATAGAATGCTGGGCCTGGAGTCTGGAAGACCTGAGTTCAAATGTGGCCTCAGATATTTACTAGCTGTGTGACCCTGGTCAAGTCACTTAACCCTGTCTGCCTCAGTTTCCTCATCTGTAAAAATGATCTGGAGAAGAAAATGGCAAACCATGCCAATACCTTTGCCAAGAAAACCCCAAATAGAGTCACAAAAAGTCAGAAACAACTGAAAATGACTGAACAACAACAAAACCTCTGACTCTAAATCTAGCTGTTCCCTGTTGCCTCCTTATCAAAAACAGCTTTTTGTTGTAATTACACACACACACACACACACACACACATATGTATGTCTTTCTCTCCTGTTGAATTGTAAGCTTTCTGAAGACAGGTGGTGGATCTTATTCATCTCAGCATCCCCACATGAACTTGTAAACTACAATTGCTCATCAAATGTTTGTCGAGTAACTATAATAAACATGAAGAATTGTGAGTCATTCATTCAACAAGTAACAATAATAGGTTTACAAAATGCTTTATATAACATATGCATACATATATGTATATAAAAATCTCATTTGGCCTTCACAACAATTTTGTGAACTAATTAAAGTGTTTTTATCCCCATGTTATGGATGAAGAAACGGAGGGTTAGAGAAATAAAGTAACTATTTCTCCAGTCGTCCAATGAGTAAGTATCAGAGCCCTGTGGATCTGCTCTCTTTCCAAACTACACAGAATAAAGTTGGAATTCCAACCTAGTTCTTCTGAGTGCCTGTTATGTACAATGGAATAATAAGATGAAATGGTACTTATGAATTCATAAGGACTATGGGTGTGGATGGAAATATGTGTTACTTTACTGTGTGTACTGTGCTTTTCTTATAAAGTATACTCTTTAAAAATTTAATTCAATTAAAAATATTTTTTTATTTAATAAAATATTTCCAAATTACATTTTAAAAAACTTAACAGGGGCAGCTAGGTGGCTCAGTGGATAGAGCACTGGTCCTGGAGTCAGGAGGACCTAAGTTCAAATCTGGCCTCTGACACATAACGCTTAATAGCTGTGTGACTCTGGGCAAGTCACTTAATCTCAATTGCCTCAACAACAACAACAAACAACAATTAACATTCATTAAAAAAGGGGGGTTTTGAGTTCTAAATTCTCTCCCTTCAGCCTCTTTCCCATCCTTTGAGATAAGCAACTTATCTATTATACACGTGAAGTCATATAAAACATATTTCCATATTAGCCATGTTGCAAAAGAAAACACACACACACACACCTCGAGAAAAATAAAGTAAAAAGTGTGCTTCAATCCACATTCAGAGTTTATCATTTCTCTCACTGGAGGAGGATAGCATTTGTCATCATGGGTCCTTTGGAAATGTCTTGGATCATTGTCTTGATCAGAATAGCTAAGTTAAAGTATACCTTTAAATGTGCCACTAAACTGGCAAACTTTGCCTGTGCCTGATGCTCTAGATCACAGACTGTACATGGACTTGTAAAATTGTTATAGTAGAGGATGTGAACAATGAGATAAGGGCAGACCTAAACAGACAGGAGAACACTTGCATACATTTCTATCAAAATGACAAAGTTCAGCCAGCCTTCCTTCAACAATGATGATCTCCAGCACATTTGCTTGGAGCGGTAATATCTGTAGCAGTGATCCTCTGTGACTTCTGATAAGAGAGGCAGCAGACCAGGAAGCCAAAGTGTGCAGGACTCTTCTCATTTAGAGGGAGTGGAACAGTTCAAGATACAAATAAGAAAATTGGAGATTTGGGTTGGAAACAAAAAACAATCCCCCAAACTATTTGGCTGTTGGAGGTAGCTAGATGGCTCAGTGCATAGAACACAGGGCCTAGAGTCAGGAAATCCTGACTGAGTTCACAGCTGGCCTCAAACACTACCTCTTCGATTCTGGCCAAATCACTTAATCTATCTGCCTCAGTCTCCTCACCTGTAAAATGATAAAACCTATTGTGAGGATCAAATGAGATAATATTTGTAAAGCACTTGGCACAGTGCTGCGTATAGTAGGTGTCTAATAAATACTTGTTCCCTACAATTAAAAATCTGCTGATTCTATTGATAAAATCAGATCTATTTCTGATGTTGAGAGTGCTAAGGACTTTGGTGATGAGAACTTTATTTTCTAGGTCTGTAGTAGCTTCAGCTGCTAAAAAGGTGGGGCCTCTAACACCTGTAGGGAGAGTTGACAGGTTGCATCTCCACAAGGGTTGCTTCTTTGGATGATGGCTGAGAGAAGAGCAGGTTGAAAGGAAGGCTGGTGATCTGGGGCAGTGCCCTATCTGCTAGTGGCAGTCACTGATGGTGGTGGTAGTGGTGGTGGTGGTGAGGATGGTAGGCCCCTTCTCCACAAAGATTGGTTCCCTGGATGATACAAGCTAATACAAGCTTTCCAGCAAAAGAAATTTTTCATCTTTTGTAGCCTCTTTCAGGAAAAAAATGTCAGCATGAGATTTATGAGATTTATTACTAAGTTCTCTTGGTTCTCTCTAATAGAGACACTTTCTGGCCTGAGCTGCCCAATGAGCCCAAAATGAAACTGGTGTGGAGCCAAATGTAAACCTCTGAAAGAAGATATTTCTAAATTCTGTTTTTCATGGCTACTTGGCTGCCATTCTTATGCCTAATTTTCTAAACAAGAAAACCTGTAGGCTATGAAAAGGAACTTTTCATTTTTACCAAGTCTTGATGAATCCTCCATTAAAAAGTACAATCAAAGTTATCATAAATTGAGCTATTTTCTGGATGTCTAGTTCAGTATCACTGTTGAGTTCAAAGAACCTCCAGGTCTGAAAGACTTTTATTTTTAACCAAATTTTCTGTAGACTTTTCTTTGCCATGGTTGCTTAAGATTTCCTCTAAGTTATCTTGAGGACTTACTTCAGGTGAAACAAGTTGGAAAGTTTGCTCCTTAATCTTGGAACTTCTTGTCCCTGAGGGATGGAGGAGGTAATGTATGCCACCAGAACCTGTGAGGATGAATAAAAGATGGGGAAAATATAGCCAAGTCAAAAAAAAACCCCAATGCTAAAACTGCACTCAGTATAAGAGCAGGCACTAAACTTCATATTCCTGTCAAGATAACCGAGAAAAAAAAACAAACAAAAAGGTCCCCACCTTATTTTAGTATTGCAGGAGCTACATAGGTCTACTCAAGAGGTCTTTGAATTTTCTTTTCCTGTTTTTTTTTTTTAGGACATTACATGTCCTACCGGTCCTCTGTCAATCAATTGATCTTTTGAATGCTTCGGGCCCTAAGCTTCAACTGAAACAGTGTTTACTATGACACCTTTTCTAATAACAATTTTGAAAGACAAGCTAAAAGAAAAAAACAACAAAGCTTACTTCATCATTGTTGATGAGAGCTGTTAGCACTGACCTGTTCCTCACATTGTTGTTATTCAGTCATTTTTCAGTCCTGCCCACTCTGTGATCCTACTTAGGGTTTCCTTGGCAAAGATACTGGAGTGGTTTGCCATTTCCTTCTCCAGCTCATTTTACAGATGAGGAACTGACACGGAGTTAACTGATTTGCCCAGGGTCACACACCCAGTAAATTTCTGAGGTGGGATTTGAACTCAGGGATTTCTGACTTCAGGCCTGCTAGCTGCCTGTCTTCTTCAAATTCTCCTATGTTTAATGGTCTGTTTGCACGTTGCCTACGTCTGTAAAATATAAAGTCCTTGAGGGCAAGGACTAATTTTCATTTCGGGCTTTGTATCCTTCTTACCTAGCACAGAGCCTCATACATGGTAGAAGCTTAATAAATGTTAATTAAATTCAGCTGAAATGCTACATCATAAACATACATTGGAATTCTTTCAACACCCAGTTTTATTTTCGGCAAGTTCATATTTCAACTCATTTTGTTGATTTGAAATTATTATTTCCATGATGTAGAGATCCCAAAACATTGCATAATTGAATTGGAAATCCCCAAATAACTAATAAAGGGCATTCTGTAACTGAAACAAAATGTTAGTCTTCAGGCATTCTGCTTACATTATTGAGTTAGCGACCTCTTCTGGCTAACTTGTGCAATGCGGATGATTTTACTACTATTTTGCAACTGTGACATTTTGCAACTTCTTAGTTCGAGCTTACAAAGCAGGAAATTGAGATCGCTTTTAATATTAATAGCTCATATAGTATTTTATGAATTTACAAAGCACATTGCTCTTGATGCTGTGAAATGGGAAGGATTTTTAAAAATAATATTTTATTTTTTCCCCAATTACATGTAAAAACAATTTTTAACATTTATTGTTGTTTTTTTTTAAGTTTTCAGTTCCAGATTCTATCTCTCCTTCTCTCCCCTGCCCTCCACCTATATTAGATTAGTAAGCAATCTAATATAGGTTATACCTGTGCAATCAAGTAAAACATTTTCATATTAGTAATTTTGTACAAGAAAACTCGAACAAATAAAAATGAAAAATAATATGCTTTGGTCTGTATTCAGATGACACCAGTTCTCTCTCTGGAGGTGGATGGTATTTTTCATTATGAGTGGTGGGGAGGATTATTATTTCTATTCTTCCATATGTAGAAACTGAGATATTAAAAGGGTAAAGTATTTTGCCCAGGATCAAAGAGTGGGTAAATGGCAGAGTTGAGCCTTAAATCCAGGCATTTTAGCTTTCATTTTAACTCTTTCCACCATGTCAGTAATATGT